GCTGCAACGGTGAGAGGCCCGCGTACCACAAAAAAAAAAAAAAAAAAATGTGTAAAGCCATTTTTATATGACTGAAAGTTGGCAAAATATCAGACCTGATAGAATTTTATTACTCTTGCTCATGTCTGAGTATTCTCTTGATGGGTCAGTGATGTTCAGAGAAGTAATACAATAAATTATGTTTATTTCATTAATTTTTTCTTGCCTTCTTTCAGTAAAATTGCTAACCTGTCAATTCCACTGACTATTCTAAGAAACTGCTCAAGAGCAGCAGTAGCAACTGGAATCTTACAACAATATTCAAATTCAGAAATAAACTGTGATTTTTTAAAATTCTTTTTTGACTTTTAATAAAAGTTACTCCTTGTAATTACCTGATTATGGAATGGGTTGCCAGAATATTTCATTTTCACTGAGCTTGATGTATTTTTAAAAATTTCTTTGAAACGTCCTCATTTTATTTATAAGTGTATTGTTTAGTTTCAAAGTGTTTGGAGATTTTCCTGTTATCTTTCTGTTACTGATTTCTAGTTTGAGTCCGCTGTGGTCAGAAAACATACTCTGTATGATTTCAATTTTTTTTACATTTGTTGAGGTTTTGTGATCCTCAGAATATGATCTATCTTGGTAAATGTGGGGGTTTTGGTGATTGAAAAGAATGTATATTCTACTGTTGCTGGGTGCATTGTTCTCTAAATGATGATTAGATCCTGTTGGTTGATGGTGCTGTGGAGTTCTGTATCTTTTCTGACTTTATGGCTACTTGTTTTATCACCTGTTGAGAGATGCGTATTGAAGTCTACAACTGTAATTATTAATTTATTTCTCCTTTCAGTTCTACTAGTTTTTGCTTCACATATTTTGCAACTCTGTTGATTGGTGCATACACATTTAAGATTGACTCTTTTATCATTATGTAATATCATTCTCTGTTCTGGACAAATTTCTTGCTCTGAGATCTACTTTATCTGATATTAATATAGCCACTCCTGATTTCTTTTGGTTAATGTTTGCATAGTATATCTTTTTCCATCCTTTTATTTTCAACCTACCTATACTGTTATATTTGAAGTGACAAGATATAGTTGGGTCACTTTTTTAATTCAGGCCATCAATCTTTGTCTTTTAATTGTTTTATTTAGACCATTTACATTTAATGTAATTATCAATAACGTTAGGGCTTAAATCTGCCACTTAATTTTCTGTCTTCTTTTTGTTCCCTCTGTCCTTCATATCTCTGTTTTTTATTTTTTCTATCTTCCTAAGGATTACTTGTTCCTTATTCTAGGTACATTATACATACACATCAAAGTTTACTGGTGTTGACATTTTACCAGTTCAAGTGAAGTATAGAAAGTGTACCTACCTTAAGTCCCTTTATCTTCCCTCATTTATAATATAATTGTCTTAATATGTCTTCTACATACTTTGAGAACCACATCAATATTATTTAAAAACAACTTGGAAAACTCAAGAAGAGCCATAAAGCCTATTATATTTACCCATATTTTCATCTTTTTTTAAAATCTCATTTTATTAAAAAAATTTTTTTTGGCTGCACTGTGCAGCATGCAGGATCTTAGTTCCCTGATCAGGGACTGAACCCGTGCCCCCTGCACTGGGAGCGTGGAATCTTAACCACTGGACCACCAAGGAAGTCCCCCCATATTTTCATCTTCCCATTGTTTTTTCCTCCTTCCAGATAGTCTAAAATTCCTTCTTTTATCATTTCCTTTACATTTTAATAACTTCTTCAGCCATCCTTTTTTTTTTTTTTTTTTGCGGTATGTGGACCTCTCACTGTTGTGGCCTCTCCCATTGCGGAGCACAGGCTCCGGACGCGCAGGCTCAGCGGCCACGGCTCACGGGCCCAGCCGCTCTGCGGCATGTGGGATCTGCCTAGACTGGGGCACGAACCCGTGTCCCCTGCATCGGCAGGCGAACTCAACCGCTGCGCCACCAGGGAAGCCCTAGCCATCCTTTTAACATAGTTTTTCTGGTGACAAATTCCCTAAGTTTTCCTTCATCTGAAAAATATCGATATCTTGATTTCCCCTTCATTCCTGAAGGTTATTTTTGCTGAATACAGGATTACAGCTTAAAAAAAAAAAAATTACTTATTTGGCTGCGCTGGGTCTTAGTTGTGACATACGGAACCTTTGTTGCAGCATGCAGGATCTTTAGTTGCAGCGTGCGGGCCCTTTTAGTTGTGGTATACAAACTTTTTTTTTTTACATTTATTTATTTTGGGCTGCGTTGTGTCTTTGCTGTTGAATGCGGGCTTTCTCTAGTTGTGGAGAGCAGGGGCCACTCTTCGTTGTGGTGCGTGGGCTTCTCACTGTGGTGGCTTCTCTTGTTGCAGACCATGGGCTCTGGCATGCGGGCTTCAGTAGTTGTGGCACACGGGCTCAGTAGTTGTGGCTCATGGGCTCTAGAGCACAGGCTCAGTAGTTGTGGTGCACGGTCTTAGTTGCTCCGTGGCATGTGGGATCTTCCTGGACCAGGGCTTGAGCCCATGTGCCCTGCACTGGCAGGCAGATTCTTAACCACTGCACCACCAGGGAAGTCCCGCGGACTCTTTTAATTGCATCGTGTGGGCTCTTTTAGTTGCAGCATGTGAACTTCTAGTTGCAGCATGTGGGATCTAGTTCTCTAACCTGGGATGAAAACCGGGCCCCCTGCACTGGGAGAGTGGCACCTTAGCCACTGGACCACCAGGAAAGTCCCAGGATTCTGGCTTCACAGTTATTTTCTTTCAGCACATAAAAAAATGTGCCACTTCTTTATGGCTTCCACAGTTTCTGATGAGAAATCTATTATCATTCTAATTGTTTTCCTCTGATAGATAAGGTGTCATTTCTTTCTCACTGCTTTTGCAATTCTACTCTTTGTCTTTAGTTTCAGAAGTTTGATTATGAGGTGTCTTGAAGTGGATTTCTTTGCCTTTATCCTGTTTGGGGTTTGCTAAATTTGGGTAGTGTTCAGCCATTCAAGTACTTTTTCATCTCTTTTACCTTTTTCTCCAGGACTATGATGACAAGAATGTTAGCTCTTTTGTTAGAATCCCATAGGTCCCTGAGGCTCTGTTAAATTTTTCTTTTTAGATTTTTATTCATTTATTTATTTTTTGGATGAATTGGGTCTTCGTTGCTGCATGCAGGCTTTCTCTAGTTGCAGAGAGTGGGGGCTACTCTTTGTTGCGGTGCGCAGGCTTCTCATTGCAGTGGCTTCTCTTGTGGAGCATGGGCTCTAGGAACGCGGGCTTCAGTAGTCATGGCGTGGGCTCAGTAGTTGTGGCTCGTGGGCTCTACAGTGCAGGCTCAGTAGTTGTGGCACACGGGCTCAGTTGTTCCA